AGGTCTTGGAAACAAATGCATCCGCATGAAGTTTGCTTCGTTCGAGTTGTTCGAAATATGTATGTGGTGTCAAATAGACCGCCACATGACTCCCTTGGTTGTATTAAGGCTACTTGAAATTAAATCGTACAGGTGGTCGAGACTTTCGTCCTGCCTTTGTTGTTATCGAAGGTTGTTGTTGTACTTCTTCAGGTTGGTTTGATGTCCTAGGCTGGTCTTCGTCCTCCAAAAAATAAGCTGGTTTCAATCTGTCAATCGATATGTTTACGGCTTTTCCATTAATCTTGATCTTATAGAACTTCTCTCCTCTATTAAGTACTTCATATGGACCATCATACGGTTTTTGCAATGCTCTTGATGGCGCGTCATGTCTTACGAAAACTCTTGGAGTTGTAATCATATCTTTGAAAATAAATACAGCCTTTTCACCATGTCGTTTAACTTTTGGTTGAAATAGTGTAATTATCCGTTGGATTTGTCCAACGATATCTTCAGGATGCTTTTCTTCTTTATTTTCTGTGAGAAATTGTCCTGGTATTCGAAAAATCTCTCCATAAACAAGCTCTGCTGGTGTAGTTTTGAGATCCTCCTTCAGCAAGCTCTGATTCCTAACAAAATTATAGGGAAGATTTCAGTACATGCTTCTGTTTGATGACATTTAATTGCTGCTTTGAGTTGTCGATGAAAACGTTCTACTAGTCCGTTAGCTGCAGGATGATAAGCTGTCGTCCTTATATGAACTGTGCCAGTTAATTGAGTTAACTTTTTAAATAGTTCAGACTCAAATTGCCGGCCTTGATCCGTAGTTATCCTAGCTGGTGTTCCAAACCTTGCAATCCAGTTTGCAAAAAGCTCTTTAACTACTGTTTCTGCTGAGATGTTCTCTATCGGAATTGCTTCTGGCCATCTGGTAAACCGATCTACAATAGTGAGACAGTATTTGTATCCATTTGAAATTGGAAGTGGACCAACAATATCTAGATGTATATGCTCGAATCTTTTTGAGGGAACAATGAAGTTTCCTAATGATGCTGCATTGTGTCTTGAAATCTTTGATTGTTGACACTGGATGCATGTCCTAGCCCATTTTCGACAATCTTGTTCAATGTGAATAAATCGCTGAGCTACCATTTTAACCGATGTCTTGATTCCCGGGTGTGACAAACCATGCAGGGACTTAAAAACCTGCTTCCGAAATGATCTTGTCACGAAGGGTCGTGTTATCGGTGTTGAAGTCTCGCAATAGAGTTTTTTGGTATTGTGTCAGCTACAATATTTTCTTTTCCAGAACATGGCGAATATCAGATGAAAACTGGCCAATATATTCGAGGTGTCGAGTTTGTCTTGGTGAGCTTCGTAAGGGATCCTGCATAAATCAACGGTTTGTGGTCCGTGTAAATCCGCTTCCCATACAAAGATTGTGAAAAATCTTCTAAATGTGGAATTGGGTAACGATCTGGAACTGTTCGCGTATTTAGTCTGCGATAATCTCCGCAAAGTCTCCAAGCTCCTTCTTAATCCGAAGTCTGATTGAAGTGTTTTCATTCCGTACATTGTTATTGCTGAACCATTAGCTGCAAATAACTGATATTGCTGTGCCGGTAATTGTTCTTGCACCATGGAGAGTGGAAAGACGCTAACATCTGAGCCGGTATCTATTAGGAATCTGACTTTTAAAGTACGGTCCATCATAAATAAGCGACATGGTTTAGGGCCTTTTTCACCGGTCGCCATTAATGACTGTCCTCCGAGTTTTTTGTTGTAGGTTCAGCAGAAGGTACTGAAGTTGCAAGTACGAGTGCCTTACTATTATTCACTTCGTGTATTCGATCTGCTTGCTCTGCGATATCTTTTAATCTGTCCTCACTTCTCGTTGCTAAAATTGCTTGCATTTGAGAAGGAAGTCGTCCAAGCCATAGCGTGCGAAGGAGTTCCTTTGAAACGGCTGTGCCTGCCAACGTGCTAAGGTGTCGCAAGAACTGAGATGGTTTTCGGTCACCAAGTTCTTCTCGTTCCAGCAACTGACGAATCCGCTGATTTTGAGAGTCAGTAAGCCTTTGAATCAACGCCTTTTTCAATGCCACATATTTCCCGTGAGTTGGAGGTTGTGTGATGATGTCTTTAATTTCTCTCGCCTGATTTGGTTCAATTCGTGAAAGAGCGTAGGCAAACTTTGCGTTGTCATCCGTAACTTTACAGAGAGCGAATTGTCCCTCAAGCTGCATGAACCAAATCTCCGGTTGTTCTGGTCAAAAGGGGGGAATCCTGACTGTTAATCTTGCTTGATTTTCATCATCTTCCTCGGTGGTTTGTGCACTGCCAGACGCCTTCGGCATGTTGTTTGTATTGAATTCTTCGTTGGAATCTTCAACTTCGATAAACTCGTCCTGATCAGAGTC